ATCTGTACACCTTTAATTTAATATATATATATTTTCTAACACACTTTTAGTTTAATTATTAAAAAATAATCTAAATACAATTGATTTAGTCAGTTTTTATATCATATATACAATATTATATCTTTAAATTTATCTATTTTTAATTTCAAACTAAAAAATAATAATTTTTTAATAAATATATTATATAATACGTTAAATCAAAATATATATCAATTACTTTCTTTTAAAATATTAAAAGCATAAAAAAGTTTATAATTGCAGTTACGCTGTCAAACCAAGACCTAGATTCATTACCTTTCTACGGCCCAACAACGTGAAGGAAAAGCAGAACCCAAATGTTCAAACCCATAAACAGAGCTGGTTCTCCTTTTCAAGTCAAAAAAATCGAATGCGCAGATTCACATCTATTTTATACCTCCATAATGACTCGAAATCCCAGAGATCAAAGAGGTAGCAAAATAAGACAGACCCAAAACAATACCACAAATTGCAATTATATTCCAAAAAGAGCAGTGTGCACAGTGTAAGAGTTCAAATATAAAATGGCAGTACAAAGTCCCAACATTGGAATACAGCAAGCAAAATTCAAGGAGGAAACCACATTGGAAAGCCTCGAATCCCACATTAAATGTAACTATGAGTATAATTCGTATACAATTGTTATAATCAAATCATTACTAATTATTTAAATTTAAGTTTTTGAAATTCCATGGAGCACGCCTTAAAAAGGCTTGTTCTGATTATGATTCTTAATCTTGAAGACATCAAGTGTTTAACTGATATTTTACGGCTCCAATATATTGTAGAGTAAAGATGTATGCACAGCCCAGTGGTGTTGGTGGGCACCAAGAGTTCAGGAAAAAAAATAGAGACTTTGAGTACTTTTTCATTAGTGGAGGGAGCTCAAATACGAGTAGAGGGATGACATGACCTGATTTCTTTTTACAAGGGTAAAATGACGCCTCTCGGCTTTAACCCACCACCACCAATGAAGAAAAGCCCCACAAGAAGTTTCATTGAGAGTAATGGTGTCAAATGTTCACAGGTTAAAATCCCATTTTAGTCCCTTTACTTTAACAAAAGTTCCTTTTTAATTTATCTACTTAAAAAAACCATTTTTAGTCCCTAAAGTTTATTACTCACCTCTTTTTTTAGTTCGTGATCCATTATTTTTTTGTACACGTGATGTGTTAAATGACAAAACTTTTAAAGTAAATGGATTAAAAAGGAGCTTTATAAATAGTATAAAATTTGTATGTTCTATCATTTAACGCATCTCGTGTATAAAAAGATAATGAAAGAATTAAAAATGGGTTAGATAATAAACTTTAAGGATTAAAAAAAGAATTTTTTAAAAAAAAGAAACAAAAAAAGGGTTTTTGGTAAAAGAAAAAGAACAAAAAAGAAGGTAAAAAACTTAATAAGTATTTTTTTTTTCTCTTTTCTTCTCAAATATCTTAACTAAATTTACGTCTATACTGTTTTTTGCTTTTGATTTTAATTAGTCTAAAGTTAATTACACGTCTATAGCACCACTATTCTTTATTTAATTGTAATCATAGAGGTCCATCCCAGCACTCCTGTATCTAAGTTTCTCCTCTTCTCTCCAAAAGTCAACTTAGTTCAATTACAGCTTGAAATACTCTCTGCTAATTATAGGTATGTTCAAAGGCTGCAAACCTTCAAGCATCTTAATCGAAACCACCAGAAATACTGTTTAGCAAGGTGCTCAAGAATAGGGTGGATCTCATAACCATCTCTCATAAACACTATTCCTCAAAAAAAAAAAAAAAAAAGGTCTTGTTTGGAATATCAATATCAAAAAGTCCCCCAGCCTTCAGCACACTTATTTATTTTAACTAGTCACACTTTTAAAGTTTTTAGAAGGGTAGAGAGGACTAGGAGTGGAGTAGAAGAAAACTTAAAACATGGTACATAACATTGAAACATAAAGGACCAGAAAGGAGAAGCTGTTCTCCAACTCATTTTTCTTTCAATTTCTTCATTTTTATAGAGGAATGCTGCGAATAAAACAATTAATATTTTCCACAAACCTAGTACAATGACTTTTGATACCTAATAACATTGGCTATTTACTTCCAATTTCTTCCTTTTTATAGAAGAAAGCTACACATAAAACAATAATATTTTCTACAAACTTTTGATACCTAAAACATGGGCATGGTTATTGTTAATGTTTTTAAAACTAAGTCAGAAGTCAAACCATTTTGACCTCCAATAAAACCACTGCATTAATCAAATTATTATAAATATACTCTTATGCATAACATTTCATATGGAGGGTGATGTTTGTAGCGGTGGATGCTTGTTCATTCATTTAAGAAATCCTCATAATTATTGTTAGTATATTAATTTGTTTTCGAAATAGAATAAATGTCAAAATTAGTCCCTCAACTTTAAAGTTTTACACAATTTTCATCACTCAACTATTTAAGCACTTTTTGTGTCTCTCAAATTCTCTCAAATTTAAAAAGTACATAATTTTAGTCCCGCTATTAGTTAAATGTTTTCACTTAACTCGTTCCAAAATGTTAATTTTTTTTGACATGGTGGTAACAAGTCATACAATTACCTTACGTGGACATACAATAATGCCAAGTCATTTACTTAAAAAAATTTATGTGAGTCCTATATAAAATAATTATAATTTATTACCATTTAAATCTTTTTAATTCTTTTATGTTAAATATCCAATTTGGTCCCTTAACTTTCAATTTTGGACCAAGTTCATCCTTGAACGTAAAAAACCTACCAAAATGATCCTTATACTTTATTTTCCAATTACCAGACTGGTCCTTTCGTTGATGGAAGTGCCCGTCTGGCACATTAAGTCTCCATGTTGTCACTCTTTTTAATTTCATAAACTTACATGGAAAAGAAAACCACACTGCATTGATAATGTGGTGAATTATTTAGGGCCACGTATGATCCACATTGGATTCTTGCCTTCATCCCCATCGTAGACCATGCCCTAATTGTGGGTCCCATAAGTCAATGTCTTTTCTTCAATTCAGACATCTCTTTTATCAAATTTTCCTTCGCTTTCTCTTTTCCCTTTTTGAACCCAAAATCCTCTACAACTTATTTCCTTGTTGCTGTATGAAATTGGGATTTTAGATTTTGTGTTTGTGTGAATCATTACATGGAGAGTGGTTCTTTGCAAAGTTCGGTCGATCAAATAGACCTATTGAGAGTGGAGGCATAGGAGATTCTGCACAATACAAATGTGAATGTGGGTTGAATGCAATTATTCGAACCTCATTTACTTTACAAAACATGGGAAAGAGGTTTTGATGTTGTCCTAAGAAGAAGGTAATTGACAATTTCTCTTTATTTTAGTTTACAAGTTTTTATCAGTTAGTTTTACATGGATATTTATCTGCACGATCCATGCAATTGCTTCCATTTCCTTCCTGATGAGGAGAGGATCGAGGCAAAGCGATGGAGTTGTTACTGATTTTGAAAGATAAGGAGTCAAAAGCTATCAAAGAGAAAGAGGATTAATGGATAAAAAGAGGTGATGGAGGAAAATGGAAACTTGGTGACTAAAAATGGCCAATTGTTGCAAGAAAATGTGGTATTAAAGGATGAAAGAGGATTAATGGATAAAAAGATAAGGGTGTTGGAGAAAAAAGTGAAGAAAATGGAGATGAGATGCTCACGAGCAGTGATGATCACTCAAGTTATTTCTTTGGTGTTTATAATTTTCATTGCTGTGTTTGTTGCTATATTTCTTCTTAGAATCATAAGATATTAGGATTGTTGCTATATTTCTTAACTAAATGTAAGGTGTAGTGCAATGATATATGTAATTTTGTTAGTTTTTTAAGCAAAATTTCTTCACTTTTGTTAATTCACCTATCCTTTTTAGAGTGATTGCTGGATAATGTAAGATGCAGTAATATTATGCTATTGACATTCCCAAAAAATTGAAGCATGGCCATTCAAATTGACACTTAAGTAGCATTACGTATACAAAATACAAAGTGAAATTCCAGTTTACCATACATCCATGATATATGCAAAATACTACCTGCCAACTAACATTTGAGCTAAAAAAAAAAAAAAAACCCCATAACACAAACTAGCACATGTTAATAAGTTGCAAGAAACACCATGTCTACATTTTGAAAACGAAGCAAGCATTAGAAAACTTTCTGCAGCATTTAGTTCATCAACAAAAGCATACTCATTTTGGTTGATTAGAGTCAGTACCACCTCTTTTTTCTCTTAGGTTACTTGTCATTTTAGATAGCAGATCATTCTGCCTACCGATTGCTTCTTTTTCCTCCTCTTGCTTTCTTCCTCTGCTCTACTTGTGCTTGTAGTTGCATTGTGGTAACAAATTGGCCACTAGTTCTAGCAAGGTTTTTAAAACCAAACCGGTCATTGAACCATTTTTAGGTTTGGTTCCCGATTCAACCGGTTCAATTAGTTGAACCGGTGAACCAGTTGGTCCAAACAACAAGGGAGAATCTGATGAGAGGGGCAAGCCATAGGCGGGCAGCATACACTTCCAGAGTTCCAGTGTTCAACACTTCAAGTCTTCAACATTATTTTTTGCTCTTTTGACCATTTTCCACAACTTTTTAACATAAATATATTATATTTTTTACCTTGAAAACTCATCAAATAATCTCAATTCTAATTCTCAAAACAAAATATATATGAAAAAACCAAGTAAATAAGCAAATAATACAAGTTTCAAATCCAAAAACAAATAGAAAAAGATGTCTAAAAAAGGCTTAAATCTAAATAGATAACAATCCAACAAGTGGCAAGGTTTATTGACCTAAAAAGGCAAAATTTTGAAAGCGAAATAACAAATTCCATAAAATTAAGCACAACAAAAACAAATTAGTAATCAAATGCAAAGAATCTGCCATTTTCAAAAAGACATGGATTAACAGTTCTTATTTATCATAAACATTGCCTTCCAATTAGGATAAAAAATAAGAGATCAAGAACCACAAATTCTGCAATGACAATGCTGACTCTTGAGAGGATAGTTCAGATGGTGACATTTTGCATAAGGGAGAAAAAGGTGAAAAAGAAAAGACAACCTTCTCTATGGAGAATCCAAGGCACTCAGAAGTGTCACAAGCTTGCAAACCATTAGAAGGCATCACAGCAGCAGCATTTGCCTCAATATTGGATTGATTTGAACATTCAGCACCAGCAACTACTGACTCATCATTAACAGAGTGCAACCCATTGTTAGTGTCTGTCTTCTGCCTTTTGCAATCCCTGATCCTACCTCTAGAATTCTGAATCATTTTTGATGCCTTTGTGGGTTTGTATGTCAAACAGATTTGGAAGGAATCAATACTAGATTTAATGCCTTGCAAAACTTTATTTAATTTAGAATTACAGGGCAGAACACAATAATTCATATGTTTTATACGAATCTAAAGTTCATTTTTAGTTTATAATTAAATCAGATTCTCCCTTTCTCCAAAGCCTAGCAGATGCAATACCTGATGTAGGTAGACAACTCTACACAGTATGCTAGATATATAAAATACATGATTTTTAGTTTGTAACTAAATCTGATCCTCTTTTCTCCAAAGCCTAGCAGATACAACACTGGATATAGTTTAAGTCTCTAGACATCACACTAGAGAACAGTAACATCAATGAACATCAAACCATTTATAGCAATCTATACTTACCAATAATGATTCCAGTGGTTTGACTATAACAAATTTTAGGGCATCCTTAACAGAAATAGGTTCTCAAAGTGACTTTTCTTGAAACCAGAGTTCAGATCCATATTTCCTTTTCACAAGTGACCTGTGAAATTATGGAAAGAAATTATAACTCTTCAGTCGTTCATATTCACAATCCAAGAGGTCATTTTATGCTTTAACACTAAATAAAACAATACCAGCATGCTTCTCTTAGTGATTAAAAACCAAAACTCCAGCTTATAACATGAATAGAAATCACAAGAGAAATGAATAAGAAAAAGAAATCATGAGAGCAGAGACGAGCGCCGGTGAGAGCAGAGCCAAGTGCCGGTGAAAGCAGAACAGTAGAAATCAGGGACGATGAACTGAAGTGAAAGAAAGTATCAGCAAAAAGTAGTTCTGGACTTCCGATGAGAGCAGATCAGTAGACACACAACAAACGCAGAGAGCAGCTTCGGTGAGAGTAGATCAGCATAAAGCAGAGCAGCTTCGGTGATAGCAAATCAGCAGAAGGTAGAGAGTAGAAAGCAGATCAGCAGAAGGCAGAGAGCAGCTCCGGCGAGAGTGCATTAGCAGAAGGCAGAGAGCAAGTTCGGTGAGGGCTGCAGATCAACAGATGCAGAAAGCAGAGAGCAACAGAGCAACGCTGGAGATTGGACACAGCAGAGAGGGAGGGGAGCGCCGGCGGTGTGGGTGAGGGCAGAGAGGCAGAGAACTTGGGTGGGACTTGGGAGGACCGGAGGAGGAGTCGAGCTCGAGGGTTTCTAATTTGGTGTCTGATGATTTTGTAATTTTATTAAAATTAAGGGTTAAAATCGGTATAAGAAAGGAATGGTGAGGGTGAAATTGAAAAAAATAAAAAGAAGATTGCATGAGAAATTGAACCGGTTGTTTTTTCGATTCTATCGGTTCCATTGGTTCTATCAATTTTGATCGGTTTTAACATCAAACGGTTTTTTATGTAAACCGAATCATTTTAATTATTGAGTACTAATTTGATCGGTTCAACTAACCAATCCGATCCAATTTTAAAAACCTTGAGTTCTAGTATTAGCATTTCCTAATTCCACTTCTTTGTTGCCCACTTCCAGCTAATATGGTATTATGTTTAACTTTGGCCTTTCTCTTGTTGTCTTTGGCTTCATTACCAATTGTTGAACTTCCCTCTCTTTGTAACACCTTTACATGTAATAATAGAGAAAAAATAGCAAATTAAATATCTTGATTGAAGTATATGAAACCTAAAGTATTTAATTTACCTTTTGCTTTTGCTTTTGTCTTTGGGGGCTGGGTTCTTGACACTTTTTTTAGGATGCTAGGTAGGAGTTTGAATCTCCAATGAGTTGGACTTTGGACAAGAGTTGCTTCACTGTCATAAATCAAATTTTTTTCAAAAAAGATAGTTTAATTAAATAATAAATTAATTAGAATTTGCTGTAAAATTATCTTAATTAAACTTATTTTCTATGTTTCAAGGACTTGCTCTTGAAAAAGAGAAAAGGCTTGGACAAAATCAGAAAAAAGAAAATGCAATTGGACTTGAGTGCACGTGTAATCAAGATGAAGGATCAAATGTAAAAAATTAGAAAGAGTGACTGATTTTGAACCTAAAAATTAAATTCAAGTAGTAAGTACAGACCCATTTTTGGGCCATTCCACAAAATTGACCCAAACCAGGTCCAATTCTCATTAAAGCCCAACTAAGCATCAAGCCAGCCCAAAACCAAATACAAAATAAGGGTGTAACGTAATCACTAGCTCCGCTTCCTTCTCATGCTGGATTCAGATCCTTTTAAACTTGGCTTTGCCGTCTGAAACAGCAAAAACAACCAGTTTCAATACAAGGACATTTCAGAAGAAGGACTAGAGCAGGGACGGAGCCAGGGGGGTGCAAGGGGAGGCACTCGCCCCCCC